GGTGAGTGAAATAGTTGGATGGTTGAGATCACTCTGAGCCAAAAGGAAAAATACCCCTCTGCCAGGATGAAACAGACAGTAATGGTCCTAACATCATTGAAGAGCTTATATAAATATGCAAAATCTTTTCTTTTTTTTTTCAAAAATGAGCCTGCAGGGATAATTCATCCTCTTCTCATACCAGCTGACCTGAAAACTATGGCTTTGATAATACATTATTGACAGTCTCTGAACACCTGTCCCCAAACCAGTCGTTGCCAGAGGAACTCCAACGGCAGTTCACTCTCTTTCTCTCTCTCTCTCTCTCGGTCAGAGATGCATACCTCATTTCCAGGTGATCAATGGACTGTGACTCCCATTGTTTCCCCAGGCGAGAAAAAGACCACATGACTGAGTCAAAGCATTGCCACTGACCGCCACTCACCTCGGCACTAAAGGTCACTATAGGAGCGAGTGGACAGTCGTGTTTACAGCGTGCCGCCACTTTTTCCGTCGCTATCCGTTGGCTTGCGTACAAAATGGAACACAGATCCATGACACATTTTGCATTTCCCTCACCTTCCCCAACGCTGCCTCTTGTCTCCTAGCAGCAGATTGCCATCGAAGCAGGACTGCGCTATTCTGACTAAGCATGACAAGTGTTGATGACCTGGATAACCCAGGTGCAGAGGAAAACGACAGCTGCCACGAAACTGTCAAGCTTGCATTTCTGCCTCTTCATTTTCCACCGAGAAGTGTCTCTAGAGGGCCAAACTGTCAGTTTTGACCCTTTGTGCCTTGTCTAAGCACCTGTCCACTGTCTACCAGCAAACTGCGCACTTGTGTCGTGCCAATCTCACTGCCAAGATGACGGGTGCTTTTTAAGGAAGACACCTTATTTGGTTTCAATGTCGGCAATGGCTGCAAATGAAGAAACGTGTACGGATACGTACACAGTCCATTGCTTTGGCATCCCTTTTCACAGTGCACATTCAGTTTTACATTTACAGTGAATGGGTCATCACTGCCGTCATTTGGAATATACGTACCAGGCGTTTGGAAGTTGAGGCGTCGAAGCTCCACCGGGTCAGTGGGATGGTGCAGCGGCATTTCCTTACTGTTGGGGAGACTGCCTTTCCTAGCTTCAGATTCTGCTCTTTTTCTGCAGAACAAACAGATATTTTTTTTTTCCTTTTTTTTGTGCTCAAAACTCCTACTCTATAACCTCCAAGCTTGCCTTGTGGTCTAATAAATACTGCAGGCAAATGTGTAATTGAGGAGGTGACAGGCCTGTAACATCATCACTTCAACTCAATACAATAGCCCTTAACCAGTAAATGCTACTTTTAGTGAAGCCTAATGTTCACTTTTTAATGCAAGTGTCAGATAGCGTGTCAATTCAACTCTATAGAATTTTTTAGCGGGTGGTGTTGAGATTGCAGTCCAGTTACCTTATTTAAGAAACAACAGAAAACGTGACATGCTTAACAGAGGTACATTTACTACAGGGCTATTGTACTGGATGTTGAAGAGTGTCCTTGATATTTGTTCCACTCTGTTTTATTTTAGCTTCATTTTTCACTAATTTGAATACAAAATTCACATTTGTAGAGAGACTCGTTCCCATGTATATACAGTGCACTACATTGTCACCTCTGACACAAGAGGCCATTTTCACAAAATGCAATGGGGTTTGTTCATTCATAAGAATCGACACAACATTGGTCACTGACGTGGATAACATGTCGTAGTTACAGCATGTGTACAATAGAAAGGTAATGTGGTGGAAGTGTATTAGCAGTAGGAACAGTAAAAACATGTGTGTGCTTGTATTTCTCAATAATTGCCTGCTGACAACTTTGATATAAATAACTGCTAACAGTACAAAAGATGTGTTTCACATATGGTCATGTTGATTAAGCACAGCAGGATTTCAGGAATGACATCAACTCCAGTGGGCGACCAATTGTCATGTGTTTATATTTACTATGTACAGTCTAGGGAGAAAAGGGGTTTAAAGGGAGTTAGTTTCTCTCTACTTCTCTCACGCTTACCTGTCTGGTTTGCTGCTCCATTGGTCAGCAAGGAAAGAAATATCGACACAACATTAGGTGGTAAGACCTTTGGCTTTATATAATGGAGAATTCCAGAAACGTTTCTTTCGATTAAGTGAATGACTTTATAAGAGACAAACGATACCAATCATATCCCAATGTTTCCTCTGCGTGCGAGATTAGTGATGCTTCACTTGAGAATTTCTGCTCAATTATGCAGCCTTGGGGCTCTTTGTCTCAAATACTACAGTTTCCCAGGTGCATCCAAGACTTGAACAGTGTATCTCTGCTATTTCAAGCAGTTTCAGCTGATTGCTTCTTGTTCAAGCATAAAAGTCATCTCTTGACTCCTAATTGCTGTGTCTGTCTTTTTCTGCAGTGTGAGATTTATTAAGATCAAGAATTATGCATATTCAAGATTGATGCATGTACTATTATCAATGTGAACATGTGAGATCATCATTTGTAATTCATTTATATAACTCCAACCATATATCGCATTAAAATGCATGTTACCGCTATTTTAAATCGATTTGGTAGCAGACCTGGCTTGACTTCAATTATTCTATGTGTAGCTGCACGAATGATTGTGATTTGCATTTCTCTCCGGCGAAGCTGCATATTTTTATTCGCGTGTCCTCTCCCAGAGCTCAACACAACATGAGCGTTCTGTCACATAAAAATTGATCTCGACATGAGCAATGTCTCCTGGTTACGCACTGAAAGTTCCCCAACGTGGCGGTGACCGCGGCTTGGTGATCGATGTGTAAATCGGCGTGCCACAAATGGAAGCTCTGCCTGAAGCTCGTGCACACGCGTTCTTCGTTCACTTTCACTTCACCTTCGTATCATCCAAACCAAAACTTTATTTAAATGGAGTCCAAGGACAATAATGTGTAAGAGAATAAAGCTGTATGCGTAAACCTCTTACATTACACTACCATTGATGTCTTTAGTATTGGTGCTGTTACCGATTACATTGTGCTGACGCTTCACTTGCTAATCTTACCTCTACAAAATTACTTCTTGTGGACTACTGTAAAAATTCTGCTGAGGACTGGACATTTGATTGAATGAACACTGCAGAAAATATGCCTTATGTAAAAGGTGAGAAGAGACGAGCGAGTGAAGGACGGACAAAAAAAATCAGTGTGTGGACGCACGCATATAAGATATGCGCTTGTGTGTATCCGGGCAAAGCAGGAGGGCATCATTAGGTCAGAGTCGGGATCAAGAGCTCCTCTCCCTCGTGGAATGGGCAGTCGTAAAAAAAGAAAAAAAGGGGGGGGGGGGGGGGGTGCTTGCCCAGGCTCCAGGGCCTCTCTAAAGCTGCAGACACATGCAGTGACATGCAGCAGATAGTCAAAGCTCTCCCCTCCTACGCTTGACTGATGAGCAGTGACAGCACGAGGTCTCGCTACTACTTGGGGGTTTTAGACAAAAAAAAGAAGCTGTTTTGATTTGGTGTGAAAGTGCACTACCGCAAGTATTTTACGTGTGTGTGTGTGTGTGTGTGTGTGTGTCTGATTAACATTCAGTCAACACACGTGTCTGTGTGAAGAATTGTGGGCATCTGCATTCAATGGCTTCACAGTTTGGGGCAGCTGTATGTTTGGATTTACTCATCTGAGAGATTGTGTGGGGGTGTGTGTGCTGCTGAGAGTGAGGGTCATGAATAGTCTGAAGATCAATGTGCCTTGAGTTCAAATCTTCCATTTAACGTCCTGATTGAAGATTTGTATGGGGTATTGTATTGATGACATGAATATTAAATATTGAATGGCAATATGTAAATTGGAAGTGCACAACAATGTGTACTGTACGTAGCATTTACGTCCCATCTGAGGTGGATTCCTGCGCATTTGTTTCACTTAGTGGGAACAGTTGTTATAATTTCTGTTTGTAGTTCTATATGCAGATAATAACTTAATATCCTCACCTTTTGTAGAGGAGGATGGCAATGACGATGCATATGATGAAGACGACGGCTAGCACAGGGCCCACCACCCAGATAAGGCCTTCCTCCTCATCGATGATCGGCTGGGGGTCGATATCGGGCGACACAACCGGGTCCGAGTAGGGGCTTGTGGCATACATGATCTGAGCCAGGGAAAGGCAAATCACTGATCAATCAATCATAGAACCTGTGTTGTATTAGTTTAGACCAACTGTCATATGCTGCTTCTACGTACCGGACATCATCCTTCTACCTACGCCTCAATTGTATCGATAATCTAGTGATTTTGAAAGATGTTTTCTCGCCTATGTTGCATCAAAGTCCAGAACTGCGGAGAAATATAGTGGATCCAGAGCTCAAGATATTCAAAGCACTACCGCGAGACTTCAATTAATTTCCCCTCACTACCGAGCATATCTGACAAGACTCTGACAAAGACAGCATGACCAACAATACAAATTAAAAGCCAATTCAAAGTTTTGCTGTGTAATTTCTGCTAAGCTGCAGCTTGACCAATCAAAATTATCTTCAATATCTCTCCTTTACAGGAGACTTGATTGAACTATTTCACATTCTACGAGGAGATTAAAGGAAAGGTCTAGTGGGAAGAAAATATATGCCTCAGTGAGCAAATTAGAGATTTCCCTCCATTTGCCATTATCTCTTTGCTCTACCTGACCCCAGGGTTAGCGGAGAGAGTGCGAGGAAAGCACTATAGACCCTGCAGCTCATCATATCCTTCATCACGCCTGCAGCTGCCTAATCATGCGGCTTTCGGGTCTTCAGTCCAGAAAGACACATGCACAAATACACACTAGCTGCAGCAGCGGAGATAAGGTGCACCGCACATAGGACGCAATTAAAGAGGAGCTCTGTTATCGAGGTATTCTTGCGATTGGCTAAGGTCTTCAGGGGTTTCTCTCCCCAAAGCAGCGAGGGTCAGCTTCTTAGGCCAGCTGCAGCTTCAAGTGTTTAAGTCAAAAGCATCACAAAGGCTCAGAGTAACACGTCAAACCCGAGGCAAACTCCGACCCTCTGCCAAGATGCACAGTTCCTAGCACGAAGACCACAAGATCACGAGCACGGGATGTCAAGCTCATGTCTGAAGCTGAACTCAAGTAAAGAATGAGGCACACATGGATAGAAATGGAAATAAAACATGTTTGAGAAAGCAGTCTTACATTTTCCAACATTTCCAGAACCGCAAGCACAAAGAAGATGTAGTCCTGGCCATTCTGGAGTTGCTTGTTTTCAAAGCCCCTGTAGGTCTTGCCATCTCCCAGGTTGAAATTGTTGGGCAGGACTTTGAAGTAGGCAGCGATATAGGCTTTGGGTTCTGCCTGCCTCTGGAAGCGAAGGCCTCTGCTAGTTTGGTTTATCTCCTTCAGCAGCTACAGTGAGGAGTAGAAAGAGGCAGACGGTTGATAACACAAAGGGACCCATTGCACCGCACACGGAAACACATTTACACAAATCAAATCCATCTATCGAGATTTCTCTCTGATTGCCGAGCTGACAATGCTGATTGCAACAGGCAGAACGTTACAGAGAAGATCAGTGACTTAATTCATCTGTAATTTTTGACTACAAAAGATTGTGAGATTAAAAGATCTGTGAATCTGTGAAACTGTGAAGCTTCAAACAGGAAAATAAAAGAGACTGAATACATTTTTGCTGGATTTGAGTAACATTATTATTAATATTCCAATTCATTTTTTGATAAATATGAATGAAAGATATGCAAAGTGAGGATACATAATGTAGCCAAAAACACCACTTCTGCTCCTTCAGCCAACAATAATAACAATAATAATGAAAGAACCACATCAAGTGTGCCCTTCATACAAGTCTGTTCTATCTGGCTTTAAGCTCCCAGTACAAAGCGCGGATCATAATTATGCTAATCAAGCCCCCGATAGTTGTTTGGGTGTCTGATTTCATATCTCTGACTTGTGTGCACGCACGGGTGTGTGTGTGTACGCGCGCTCTGTGCGGCTGTCATTCACATCAGAGTGTGTGCGTTATCGTGTGTGCTCTGTTTTGGCTGCGGGGCTGTTGGTGCTGCCCGATAATGTCTTCAATCATCTCTCCTGTCAACGGGGCTAAATCTAGCTGCCCTTGGGAAAAGTTGTGAAAAGGTGAGTGCCAATATTGACAAACAAATAAATTCTGACAGAGGGGAGACTTTTGGGCAATCGGTCAAGGCTACAGACATGGGCCTGTAGGCATGAGCAGTAAAGCCAAAGCCAGATGAGACATGGTGTGTTTTTTCTTCTTCTTTTAGCCCCCTAGACACGTGATATATTTGTGATGCTTATACTAAAGAAATAAATATTTCAAAAACTCAGTTTCAAAATAATTTGCCAGAGGATTTGATTTAGAAATAAGAATCCTTGCAAGAATTTAAATTTTTATGTAACCCGAGGGGTAAAAACTTTATAGAAGTTTCCATTTCTACGCATTTCTAGGACAGAGACTGCAGTATATGCTGCACCGAACGTCTAGAACCATTAGCTTGCAATGTTTGACTCCGCATATAAAGGACAACGTAAACGTAATCGCAGCTTACAATGCATCGTGATAAAAGCTTTCATTTGCTTTCACAGTAAATCATACCTGCAATGCACACAGTGTTACATACGCAGTAGCCTAGCTTTGTATGGGATGAGAAGGGACATGGAGGCCTGATGCAGCTCTTCAGGTAATTACCACAGACACAAAGAGGAGGGGGAGGAGGGGATGGGGGGGGGTTGAGCAGTGCACTTGATGGCTACTTCATGTTCTCATTTCCATATGAACAGTGCTCTCTGCAGCTATTTGCGTCAATCAGCGAGACTCATCTCCTGTTCCTCCTGCCCTCTTATAGGCCTCAACTTATTTTCTCCAGTTTTGAGAAAAGAAAGGTGTGATGAATGCAGTTATATAGGCCTTATGAAGAAGCTGTGAACAATAACTGGATAACAGATGTGATTTTTTAACTATTTACTTTCTGTCATTATAATCTCAAGATCAACCTTAAAACTTACCTCCTCCAAATTCATCTCATCGGGATTGTCCCAGGGTTTGAAAAACTTGCCGGTGCGTTGCTTCTTCAGAGGCACTACCACGATGTAATATCCCCTGGAAAATAAAAATGTAGGTCAAAGATCACTGCCACTTATTAAAAGACACAAGTTGTATTTGTATGCGATTGGTCACCGTTTCCTGGACAAGAAAAACAAATCCTATTACAGCAACAACAAATACAGCATTGCCCACCATGTCGACCTGTATTAGGTTCATCTGCTTACCAGAAGCTGATGAAAAAAGATGCATAAGTATGCCGTTACAAATGAAAGCAAGTCTCTATCTCTTAATTGGGGCCATTTTCCTCTGTTTTCTATTTAATTTGAGCATGTTCAGAGAAGTCGGGCAGTACAGTTGCACCTCTCTGAGGCCCCCCGTGTGCTGATTAGGAGACCTCTGCGCACGAAGAAAAGATACAGAATTAGAGGGATTTTGGTCCCTTCATCAGGGTGGCAGGAGCGATAATGGCCTCTGCCAGAGTTTTCTGGGCTTCCTGGTTGGGCACTGCACTAGCTAGCGTTAGCCAGGAAGGCAGTGTGGCAGGCTAATGGGAAACTAATTAGCTTAAGCTCTGGCATGGGAGACGGTGGGCCAAGTGCATCCAGCAAGATCAAAAAAGCCAAGATGGGTTTGAAGCATCAGTCTACAATCGGATGTGCTGCTTGGCCTTCTGACAACCCTGGGCTTTGTTGAAAGGCTGTAAGAGACTTCATAGGGCTTAAAGGAGTGCGCTTACATGAGTCGAGCTCTTTCAGTGTGTAATCACTGAGCTGAAGTGGATATCACACTGAAATGTAGGGAAGCATAGAAATGACTTTGTTTTGGAAGAATTACCCCTGACAAGGTCAGCTATCAAGTCATCTGCTTTATTTCCATTCATAATGTATCGGTACCAAATAATAAACAGTAATATTGACTTTAGCAATGGACAGAAAAATTCCACGGCACCATAGTGGTGAAGTCACATATCCAACAAAAGAGCCATTTCGTGTACATTGACAAGTAGGGAAGTAACCAAATCTAAATATAATCAATTCAGAGACAGCACTCCAGGTCAATGCATCGGGGCAGGGGTCAATACACAAAAAAAAGAAATGCGAGTCAACGTGGGGGCTTCTCAACATACGATTCAAATCATCCACCTTCAGGGGGGCAACCCAAAGTTTGAGTAATTAGATGTCACTTTCTCAGCTCTACTCACCTTACTCTCTCAGCTGTTTGCACCGATGGTAGCTCCACAGTCACTATACCGTCTGAGTTGGTCTTGCCAACCAGGTCGGGTTTGCTGCGGAGAATGTCTGGGGCCGTCATGGTAGACACGCGATGCTGCAGACCGCCGGCACTGTTGCCACGATTGGTCAGGAGGAAGGAGTACTGCGTCTCAGGTTGAAGACCCACGATTAGCTTCTGTGTTAGCTTCCCATCCACCTCCACACTCTGCCCATTGTCGTAAAGGATCTGTATGCGAATGAGTTGTTTCATGTGAAGACTTTGTTTAGGATGTCAACTGAATCATTCGTTGTGTCAAAGCATTGTGTAGGGTACGTATATATACACATGATAATTGTATATTTATCTTGGCAGTGCTCACAGTGAAAGGCTGAGCTGGGTTGTAGGTATCTGGGATTTCCCAGGTCAGCAACACGGATGTCTTCATGGCAGCTCTCACATGAAAATTTTTTGCAAACACTGCTAAAAGAAAGGGGGAGCAGGTGATTTAGACACAGAACATCCTTTTTTTTCTATATATCTACACTAATGGTCCGTCACCAGTGCTTACCTGAGAATCTCTTCTTCAAAAGCAGGCAGTACTACACTGAACTCAACACTGTCCTCTTACCTTCTCACCAACACCAACCCTTACATTAATGACTGAGCTTTGCTTGACCGACGAGACACAAACAAACAAACATACTTACTCCATGTGACTTTCTTAAATCGTTCTAAGATTAGGAAGACTAATGGTTGGACAATATGTTAATACCAAAGTCCTGTGGGTGATTCCATGCTTTCTCAACGTGATGCTTTCAGAGGAAGCTGCTGTGGTTGGAAAGGGCTGCGCAGGGAAAGGTTGATTTTAAAAAGGGAAAGAGCAAAAAAAGGTTCAGGGACTGGTCCTACCTTGATCCAAAGGCTGTGTCCTGAATTGGACACTTGGGCTATAGGAACCAGAGCCCTTGCTGGTGAAGGCACACATTTTAATATCATAAGTGGTATCTGCCTTAAGGCCATCCAGGGTGACTGTGGATTCCGGGGCGGTGATGAAGAGTTCTGAGGGACTGCGTGGGCTATTGATGTCCTTGTACTGCAGAGCATATTTCACTATTTGGCCGTTTCGCTCCGCCAGCAAAAGAGGTTGCCAGCTGACCTGAATGGTGGAGGTGGTGGCACCCTCTGCTGTAATGCTCTGAGGGTAGCCGCTTGGCACGTCCTCATTCGTGGTGACTTCTTTGACCGTCTCTTCACCAAAGCCCACCTTGTTGCGTGCGGAAAGACGGAAAGTGTACGATGCTCCCTTATGGATTTCTTTGGTAGTGTAGTGGTTCTCTCGCTCGGGGAACTCGATGACGGTCAGCGGATCCACGTCTTTGCGGCCAAAGCGGAGGCGGTAGCCTTGCAGGGGGCCGTGGGTTAATGCGGGGGGATGCCACTGGAGGAGAGCGGTGCCCATGTTGGTTGTACTGACCATTAGCCGAGGTTTATCAGGAACTAAGACGGTACCAGTGGAGAAAAGGACACATAGTTATGAATATGGAGAATGATGTTTCCATCTTATCATATTTGTAGTAGACAGGCATTCATTATCTGTGTGTTGTAAGTCATTTTATTGTGGTACAACACTGTCAAAAGAGCTGAACTTTTCTTCTCTTTCTTTCACTCCCTCTACATTTTTCATTATTTTGAAAAATGCCTTCAGCAGTGCCATGTCACACCAGTGGGTAAGAGTTATTGCACTAAATGAGACGGTAATTAGCTGTATTCACACTTTACACACTCGATGAGAAGAATATCTGCCCGGCACTTTTTTCCCCCCTTATCGGCTGCAGTTTCACATCTTTTCAGAGTAGAAATGCAGTCTCAGATGAAAAGGTATAGCACTGAACCACAGGAGATTCGTCAGTGGTTGCGGTTACAGTACCTGCGCCAGTGGTGGTGATCAGTTTGGGCTTGCTGCGTGCACCGTCGCCCTTGGTTGTATAGGCTCCCACAGTAACTGAATATGTGGTCTCAGCCTGCAGTTCTGTGATGATCATTTCCTGTAAAGATGGAGGACTTAAGTTGCAGGACACTCACTTGCACGCATACAAGCAAGGAGCGAGATAAATGCATACGTAAGCATAATCATCAGGAAAAACACAACAGACACATTCTCACAGCTATACTTTAAATTGAGGCATGCTTCAGTGGATAGGAATGGTCGTGATAAGCTGCTCGGCAAAGAGTGTTTCTTTCGTACGTTGCAAAATAGCTCCGGCAGTAAACACCAATGGACTTCAAACCTTTAAGGTCTGTACTAGTGTTAGTCAAGGATTCCATCTGCTGTTTTCCAAATAACTTACGAAGCTGAAATAGCGCTCAAGCTAATGCTTAAAATGCTTGAGGTCTTGAACTCCTAAGGCACAAAAGACACATGCCATTCATGCAGAGGATGACAGCAGGGGAAAACAAGATTCGAATTTTGTCAAGTTTAACTACTCACATGTTCGGTAGAATCATCGTACTCCCACTGATTATGATATACGAATATGGAGAGAAAAGAGACAAGAAATAAGGCCAGGTACAGACACTGATCACTGGTGAGAAAATATACACACATAGTTTGTCTGCAACCACCAAATAAATCTGTATGTTGATAAAATAATTATTGTAAAAGTAACAATGATCATATATAGACTTGTCAATAAATGTGCACAACTTCTGCCTCCGGTAGAATTGTAATTAGTGACACAGCAGTTAAATGCTAACTACTTTCGATTCAGTTTAATAATTGATATGCCATGGTGAAAGTGAGTTTTTTTCCACTCCAATTAACATACGTTTCTGTAGCGCATGTAAAGGTGAGAGAGAGAAAGCGATACTTTGTGTCTGAGAGATGTGTCGGCTGGTTGAAAAGGGTGTCGTACCTGGGCATCATCAATCAGGATGTCCTTGTTGACTGGCTGTCCTGTGGGCTCCCCATTAACCATCCTGACATAGTGCACCTGGTACCCTCGGATCTGACCGTGCTGCTTGGTGGGCATCGGTGAACGCCAGATCACTTTAATTGATGAGGAGTTGACAGCCTCCACCTCAACTTTACGAGGTGGCCCGCTAGGAACTGGAGGAACACCATGGGATAGAAAAAAAAGGTCAAAATTATGGAGAACCCCTTTGCCCTCTTGCTATTTCCTGCCCAAAAGCCGTAGCGCAAAATGCTGCAGTGACAAAAAAAATCACAAAAGTGCAGCAAACTGCAACAAGCACTGCATGACATCAATATTTCAACAATGGTAAGGGGGAAAAACCAACAGCAAAAACAGGTCTGACAACTGACCTAATCTGGAAACATTAAAAATGGGTAGAGTGGATTTCTAAAACATAGAATAAAAATGTGTTTTGCCAAAATAGAAAAGTGGAGCCAAAGGGGGGCTTCAAGTGCTTCAAATACTTGAAGCACTACAAGAATTTTGGCTATGGTGGGAGGAAAAAAATGAATAAAAAAAATGATTCTATCACATGAGGGGAGAAAAAATATAAAAAAATGGCCTTCAAAAATGTCTTCCACCTATTGTCCTTCCCACTGTCCAGAACTGGTCCTTTTGCCAAGTTCCAAAAAATGCTGCCGCTCAAAAACACTGCAGAGAATATTTCAAAAATGACAGTTGGGACTGGAAGTTGGAGGCCTGCAGTTGAAAATGCCATACCATGTGTTGAAATTGAGCAGCGTAGGGAAAAAAAAAAAAATGTAAAAATAAAAAAGGTGCTTTTGCAAAGTGAGTCACAGTTTGTGTGGGTGAAAAAGTGCAAGTCCAAAACAGGGCTAAAAGTATCAAGTGGCGACAGTCTAGAAGCAGGCAGAGGGGGGAGGAAAGAAGGGGGAATCGTAGATTTAGACGAGGTTGTTAGTATTTGACGGGGTAGGTTAAGAGGGGTGGACTGGATTTTCAGCTGGAGCTTTGTTTGAGCGAACACATACCATCCTCCTCCGTGCGGATGAGCTGCGGCAGGCTTTCCGGTCCTGCCCCGACATCTGTGTGAGCGGTAACCGTCACGCGGTAATCTGTCCATTTTTCCAGGTTTTCCAAAAGGTACTGAGAGCTCTCCGGAGGGATGCTGGAGATTTGACGAGCAGTGGCGTCCTCGCCTTCAGTTGCAGTATAGTGGATGGTGTATTGCGTTATGATCCCATTTTGTAATTCCATTGGGGGTGGCCGCCAACTTACCAGGATGTTGGTGGAGCTGGGGCTGTAGCACTGGACTTCCTGAGGTGGGCCTGAGGGTTCTGGTTGATGTGTTGGATTGGGTGCAGGTGAAGGTTTTTTTTTTTTGTTTGGTCAGGCCGTTCATTGAGTTGGATTTTTTGGTTTTAAAGGAGTTTCAGTTTGGTTTGATCGGGGTGATGATGGAAGAATTGACCAAACAAAGGGAAAAAAAGAAGAGGAAAATAAAATGACACAAAATGAGGAAAATGCACAAAGACTTATGTGGGTAAAAATAAAGTATATTAACTCAAGGAAACATAGAAAATACAGGCAAGACAAAAGGCAAAGACCAACACAAACATGTACACACTGATGATGAATGGAAGGTGCTGATTGGGAAAAGGACAGCTTTAACATATGTAACCTACCTTTGTCATGGAAATATATATATATATATATATATGTTAAAAATGAAACAAAAATCATATATCCTAAAATTCTATGTATAAGATCATTTTATTCTAAAATTAATTCAGAATAATTTAGGATAAAACCATTCCAAAATAAATGAAGTAATATCTAAGACAAATTTGGCAAGCAGTTACCATCAATCCAAAAACATAAAGGTTGATGCTTTAACTATTCAAAATAGAAAAATGTTGTATTTGTCACCAACCTTTCCGAAGCCTGTTGGTTTGTGGTAAAAGCCTGATTGTACAACAGAGAACTTCCCAAGGAGACACGACTGATTTATTAGATTCTGAGAACATTGGCATGCACTTTTTGATTGACAACATCATTTACCTCAGAACATACATCTGGGTAGAGTTTGAGCTTTTATACCCACCTGATCTCTGCCCTTGGCCTTCAGAGACCTCAGATTTATGTTAATGTGCAAAGACAAAACAGTTCAGTGGTTTGTTTGTTTTCACACATGGTTTAAGGGGAATTCTCTGACTGGTAATCACATTGAGTTGAACTGCACTGGATTTAGTTTGATTTTGTAACTGAATCCAATTTTTCAATTTTGACTTGTTTCATAAATCTGGGGTCTTTTGGGTGGAAATGTCCCTAACTACAGAGACGACACTTGCTGTGAGCTTTCTATGATGTCGTTTCTCCACCACTTTCTTGATTCTAATTTGAATTGAGTATGAACATCAATAGCGGAAATGGGAAAAAATCCCAAGTGGTTCTTGGTGGTGTAGCTACACAGAAAGCTCATTTTGAAAATTCTCTCTTTTATTTTTGGCTGACATGCAATGTCAAGAGACAAGGCTTCCTGAAATGCCCTTTCGCTCATGAAAAACATCTGGGTTATGCAGATGTGGGCAGTCGTGTTAATAATTCAAGGCTTTATCATTCGTTTGTCGTGTTTGTGTAACCTTGTGTCCTGACTTCACAGGACAGCCTGGGTACTCTGTCCATGCAACCTCTTCAAAGTGAATTCTGCATGGTCAGGTAACACTTGTTTACTTTTTCAAATGTGTGCGCCATTTAAATCAAAATCATATCTGTGCTCAAATCCCTTCCTGACGTCATTGTCACTTTTTTTTCTCGGAATTTTACAGCACTTAAATTTAGAATGCATTTGAAAATGTGCTCCTTCCCAAATAGTTTGAACCCTGTCAGATAAGGAAGAAGACCTACGTGTCTGTGGAGTTTCTGCCGAGATCTCATTGGTGTAAGCTCCAACTCCGTGTTTACTACGGGCAGCCAGCCGAAAAGTATAAGTTGTGAAGGGCTTCAAGTCTTTCAGCAGGTATGTTGTTGTTGGCTCAAAGCTGATGCGTTTCTGTGGAGAAAGTTTCATGTGTGAGCTTCCAAAGTAAAGACTGGGAGGACCACATATACAATAGGGATGCTGCTTTCTGATATGAAGATACAATGTGACTGTATATCCTGATAAAAACTACTACAAACACTGGACCTGTAAATTCCGCCATGGAATTATGTAGATATGTATGACTTATTAATTCGTGCTATTGGTGTTGGTATTAGGAAAGCACAAGAAAATTATAATTTCTAATTTTCTAATTTTATGATTCTGTGTGATTCATCATATTTATTTTGTTATGATGGACATTAATTCTAATGGGAGGCCAAATAATTGGGTGAAGTCAGGAAATGATTACCTCCTCTTTGTCGTCCCTCTTCCTGTACATAACTTCATATTCTGTGATTTGATTTTCCTGTCCAGTCTGCGCTGGGGCGATCCATGACAGTAAAATACTTGTTTCTGATTTGGCTTCTCCTTTGAAGTCGGTTGGTTGGGAGGGAACTGCAAGTGGAATAAAGAGATGAATTAATTTATCATCACATCTTGCAATATTCATTGTCACCACAGTCATTCTGGCACAGATGTCACTTTGCGTTAAGTTATCGCTACAAGAGACAGTCCATGGTTACTTAATGAGGAAAGAAAACTAACTTTTTCAGGAGAAGTAAACAACCAAGCACTTGAATTTTGATACAAATACAAAACAATTTTTTTCCTGCTTGAGAAAACCAATTGAAGTTTTTGTAGAAAGCCTGAAGAGGATCATGCATTCACGACTGTAAACCACTAATGAGGATCAGTGACAAAAAGTAGCGTGGCTTCAAAATGTTTGTGACACTCCAAGTTTAATTGTGGAGTCTGAACATTTGTTAAACTTCAAACTTGTTCAATTATAAATTCCGCACGCTTACCTCCCGTCTTTGCGATTATTTGAAGGTCTACGGAAAGAGGTCCATCGCCTACTGAGGTGTAGGCCAGAACCTTGATGTAGTAGGTCTTATTGGGGATGAGGCCGTGGATGGTGACAAAGTTAGACCCCCGAACAATCTGCTTCTCCCAGATGTTGACGTGCTGGGTGGAATCCATGGTGTAGTAGACTCGGTAACCCATGATCTGCCCGTTAGCCTCCTCCGGTTCATCCCAGTGGATCACAGCGGTGGTGGTGCTCATCATGTGACCTCTGACTTGCCTCGGTGCCGTGCTGGGTGCCTGCTCAGCTGTTTTGGCCTCGATGCTGTCACTGGGTGGCCCTCGGCCGATGTTGTTCACCGCCACCACCCGAAACTCGTAGTCCGAATAAGGGCTGAGGCCTCCCACGCTGTACCGAGTGGTGGCTACACCGTCAATCTCCTTGTACGAGTCTTCCGAGTACTTGGACTTGTGTTGGATGATGTAGTAGGACACTGGTTCCGGATTGCCAGAGTCCCACGTCAGTGTTATGCTGGTGGCTGTGCGCTCTGTCACCACAGGAATGCCAGGAGCCTTGGGCAACGCTGTGATGATAAATATTACATAAATATGACGAGGAAAGCAAAGTATACAGCAATGCTATACCTCTGTAGATTCATTTACATTATGGGCCAGAGACACTTTATTTTAATTCATAGATGGTTGAATTATATTGATCACATTCATTTTCCAGCCCATTGCACTTGACACTGATGATGTACAGTATATCTGGAGTCCTAAGAGACTCATATGATGTGTGCCTTCTGTTGCGTGGATCGTCCTCGTGTTATTTCACTTTTCTAGTTTACATTTGTAAAAAACAAAAAGTTGGATATGAAGTTATGTGCAAGATTAAAGGTTGGCACACCCCGTGTTCAACTGAGAATGCTGTTGTCGTTAATCTCGGATATCCCAGTGTTTATCACTTTAATAATTTAACAGTTGAATTTATTGCTTTAATTCCCCACGCCGTGGCACATGGCAAAAAGATATCAGGGCAATAGATTGTCTTTATATGCCATCTCAAGTATGCTTCTGGGGGAGCTTGCTGCCAGACGGCTATATTGTGACTAATATTTCTATGTTATGTCTAGGAAAAACAAAGCTGAGTGTGTGTGTGTATGTGAGTCGGTCCCTCGTGTGCACGTGAACATGGCGACGCCAATCTGGGATATCTTTCTGGTACGCTGCTGTGTAGATATGATTACACTCCGATAAGTACCATGCCTACAGAGGACACCAAACAATACTCGCTACGTTTTACATCCCCCTGCCGCCGCCCCCTCCTCCTCCTCTACCTCTCGCTAACAGAAATGGCAAGCATGTGGCTCTGTAGCTCTCCAGCTGAGAGATACGAACTTCACTATATTCTCCATCTGACATCTAATGCACTGGGGCTGGTAGCAGGGCTTGTCTAAAGCTTTAAGGAATCCTCCACAGATGAGTTACCGTGACAGTGAGGGTAACTCATCTGTAAACTTTCTTTAAAGGACTGCCCATAGTCTCTGCTTGGATATTTACTCCTAATATATATATATATATAGCTTCAAATATCCAGATAGTATATGCATGCAGTTAAAATAAAATAAAAATACAAAAATATATGTGTGTGTATATATATCAGCATGCTGCTGAGCACTCTACTCGGCCCTTTAATTCTGAAGAAGCTCAGCTTTACCTTTCACCGTTATCTGTGCCACAGCCTCTATCACCCCCAGGGTCGACATGGCCACACAGGTGTAGTTGGCCGACTGCCGGACGTCTGTGAGCTCCAAGACGTTCCGTCCAATGGGCATGTCGTCCTCTGGCGTAAGGTCCTCTGCACCCAGCATCCACTTGACATACGGCATGGGAGAGCCCACTGCCACGCATGTGATATTGACACTGCCGCCTGGCATGATCTCATTGTCTGTAGGTGGAATGGAGAATCGTGGGGGCACCCGGCGTACTGAAAAAAAGACAAAAGGTGGTGTTAAAACCCAGCAGAAAATGGAACAGAATCCATTCATAGAAAAAAAATGTCTGTATTCTCCTCAAATGTTGCCAAAAGAAAACTGACTGATCGTTATATAATAACATTAGCATATTGTAAAGGTGACATTATAGCATATACATTAAATTGGTTTCTAGATAAATAACTTGTGGTTGCTGGATGAAGGCTAAGAAAACACATTTGATCCGAGACTTACATATTTCAATGGTGAATGAACAACACGAGCGCCATGCATAAAAATACCGTATCACCATCAAAACAGATATGCAGCACTACACAAAGTGCTGGAGAGTCGACAGCACTCCACAGTTGTATTGCGAGGAAACAACTTTTTCGGCTGCGCGCTTCCAGCTGATGTGTGATAATGTGCCTCATCACATTCTCACATCACACAAACATAGATAATACTCCGAGACGTTGCACACGCATCAAAGGAGAATGGTGTTTCTCTGCAATATTTAGGGTCAGACCAAAGTAGAAACTAGGGCTGTCAAATGTTATGCTTTCGCACCGTGAATAAACTTCAGTGATCACACAATCACCCTTAACGTGTCTCCCTCTCCTGCCTTTACTTTGAAAAGTGGCTTTAGACTTGTGAACTCCACCAGCTCAGAGGATGAAAGTAAAAGTTATGCATACTTCCTTTATGCTTACTAATTCAAAAGCCATTGAAAGGTCTTGCGCTTATCACATAAGAGGACCAATTATGCTGGCGCTTAAAGCATTAACTTGTCTCGCTACACTTTGTTCTCCGATTGTAGAAATCAGTCCTGTGAATGAATCAAAATCTAAATATTAACTGATGCTAATTCAGATGATTTTGACATGACTGCAGGCCTCAGTACATGTCCGATAAAAGGCTGTGCGAGCTCATTCAGATTGAAGGTTCTGTAATGTGACTTTACCACGGAACATGTCAAGGATCTAGACAAGCCGCACATCTTCTAAGAGGGAGATAAGATGCTCCAAGGCAGATGCATTTGCAGAAAATATCACTGCTGGCAGCTTTTTAACTAGTCATTGTTTTTCATGTCATTTCAAAGTACAATCAAGGCTTATTCTTTTTAAAAAAAATCATGATTACCCACAATAATATTGATATTAATCCGGATTTTAAACAATCAAACATATCATTTAACAGCGCTAGCGGATACACATTCCCCAAAGAAAATATTCTCCAAAAACATAAAAGGCTAAAACTTCAAAGAAAAGGTGAAACTCTCAGGTTAACTTAAATGTATAACATTCATAATGCACATGGACGGCTTTCAAGGCCTTTTGGAGGGGAGCAAAGAGTCCGTCATGCATACAAGAACAATATGTGACTTTGTGAGGCAACCATGTAAGGGAGTCAGGGGGAAGAGGGCTACAAGGGTAAAATAAGTGGTTAACGGGGTCAGAAGGAAGACGTGGTAGCACACTGTGTAATGGGAGGGTTAGTTTGCTACTGCTACATTGTTGTAAATGTGACGAGTACAAGCTCAAGGTCCTGGGAGAACTAAAACACTTGAAGAAGACGACAAAGACATCTTAGGACAAGGGGTCTATGAATGGACAAAACTAAAAAAAGACTCAGACCCTCCTCAGGTTTTACTTGTGAGGAGTTTTATACAAAAATAGCTAAGTACATGTCAATGAAGTGGATAACTAAGGGGCTTAGGTATGTGGGAAACAGACAGGGACTACCGGGTATTGCTATAAAACATTTAGGGAGGGTTGAAAGTAAAAGTAAAGTCAGTGTTACTGCTCATGGTATTGGAAATAGATTACTGTTAGCTTTGGTTAGATTATTTATTCAGCTATTTCGTGAACCTTGAAGACAACAGTTAAGGAACGTGTTGCTTTTAAACGAGTGGATACTTGTACTTATTGCTTGCTAATTGACCCATCCTTATAAGCTGCCTCTACAGTAGTCCCTGTGACTCTAAACTAGTTACTTGTGCAGGTATAGTCGACTGCTGTCTGCTTCTAATTCACGAGCCCATTCTGTTGAGCAGACTGCAGCTCTCTCCGGAGAGGGAATCTCGGGGAACTGCTTGCATTATTAAATACAACGTTTCTCTCACTCAATATTTAATTAATATCCAATTGGATCACGCTCCCCACAGACATAATATTATCGTGCTCATTTGAATATCATTACATTTGTCAAGTCTGGTGAATAACGCTCTAAATACATCATTCTTTCACGACTTCCTGCGAAGAAACATCCGAGTCGGAGGAAGTGTATAATCTCCGAGGGCAAGGTTGTTTTTACCGCTTGGCGCTTGACTTTAGTGCCCATTTCAACAAAGGATTGATTTTGCTTCAACATACTTTTATCCCTGAGAAACTTCCATTGGAGAGAGCATCACAGGGAACATTTTAGTGCAGTGGTGCTTAAATGGCTCGATGGAGGGAAAGATATGGAGCAGCTCTGCATCTATGTAGAACAGCAATTATTAGTCCAAGAGCCCAATCAAGGATATTTTGTATGCTGGCCGTGTGCGTCACATTACTTTTCTGTTCTAACTGAAACTAATTTAATTATTACAATCGTATTCATTATTCATCCCATTGACCTGCTGTGTGGTGAGTCATCAGAGGAACCAAGCAGGAACACTGACAGGGTAAGGGTTCGGGTAAGGGCGGGGCAAAGGGGATGACTAGCTCAAGCATTGAGAGGTGACCATGCAAATAGATCCTCAGACATGTGCAAATATCCTCCCTACCACCCCCCCACCCCCCACCTGAAAGATGCAAACATGCACCACCTGTTGGACAGTCAAGCACTCTGACAAAGACCGGGGCATTCTCGATGGGAACATGGACATTGAATGAGCGACAAATGATATAATTAGAGGTAAAAAAATTAAATAAGAGAAAACTTTTCTTTTTTCCAAACAAAATTATTTATGTTTTGTGTTGTGTTCAAAAAGTAAAAACACACCAACCTTCTCGTAGCTCTGAGGGATGTAGGAAATTTGATGCAGAACAAAATTAAATAAGGAAAGGAGAAAAACAAGGGAAACACAGAGAGTAAAAAGGCCATGTTGTAGGTGTTCAAATGCTACTTAAACAATTCGAAGGACCTTCTGTCTCCAAGGTGCAGGTAGCCCCTTGTGTCTGACCTGTCTAAGCTCAAACATTATGAGCGAGAGAATGTTTACTTTTAATGCAAATTCTGCCCAAGCCATGTGGTTAGCTTATAATGATACATCAAATTAATTTGTATTATATATTGTATATGATGTTACTTACATAAGCTAACCAAAAGAGACTGTAAAATGTATTTAAAAATTACAAAATAAATGTACAGTATCCATCTGAAACACTTATTTATAGGTAATTCAATTAAAACAATACTAATTGTACGAATACTAATAATAAATAGTGAAAAATTACAGCCTCTTTGGAAAAATGGTGACAGAAAGCAAGTCACTGCTGCTACTCTGCATGTTCTGTTTTGTATTTGCTAAAATCCTGAAGCTGTATAGCAATGATACATAATTATATATAAAAACTTGGACTATGTTTTTAGAAGATCATTTTACATATGGAGTAGGATAATGAAAAAAAAACACTATATTAGAATGACTTCATACCAGTTGTAACTGTTTATTTTCTACATTTCACTGTCAGTAAAACTAGTGAGATCAAAGCTATCCTTCTGGTGTTGATCAATAGGGAGAAAAAAGGCCGGAGAGGATCTGTTCAATGCTGGGGAAAGAGTTGGGACTGATGGAGGAGGGCCCGCCACCCTTTACCACCTCCGACAGTCAGGTTTGAGAGGCAATTAGTAGATAAACACAGCAAGCAGTCTAGTCATTGGTGTTAGGCTCAGGATTATCAACAAGGACCAGAAACACATAACAGCAGATACCGTAGGTTCAAATCAGTGCAGGTAAGTCAAGTGCAAAATAAAAAAAGAACCAAAACAACAAAAACCAAGCATACTTACAACGGCCTCACAGGACATGGCCCCTGCAGACTTTATTGGCTGATTTAAAGGTTACTCACGAATTTTAAAGAGGACATTAATATAATATTTGATAGAAAGCATGCCGGCGTTGTCAACATGTGTTTCCTACCTCTGACGTATAGATTTGCGGGGGCAGAGTAGCGGGTTCCATCGTTGTTGGTCGCCACACATTCATACTTCCCCTGGTCAGACTCTTCGCTCTGCTCTATCTGGAGGGCTCCTGGTTGGGAATAGCAAACGGGGTTGGGGGGGTATGTTTGGTTAAAATGTTGTTGTTCTCCATCATGTTCACAAGCAAACATAAAACAAGGAAAAGTAGTTGTTTAACCTCAAGGAGGCCAACATCAGCCCCCTTCCTTTCTAGTTTTGCTTTGTCCTGTCAAGCCTGAGTAGTTGGACAGTTTGAGGAAAGTTGAAATTAAACAATATCCAATAAACTGCATCAATGAAATACTACGTCCTTGCATCTTTTACTTAATACTCTGTTTTAAAGTTAAGCCCCCATCATTATCACAGCCTGATCCACTGGCTGAGGACTGTGTTACCCTACTATAGGTGAGGGATATCTGCAAATGGTAATCATGCAAGACATTGTAATACAATTTAACAAGGCTAAAGTAACCACAAGGGAAAAGAAAATAACACATCGTCAACCAAAAGAAAAGAAAAGCTCCTAAGTTACCGTCTGTCTATAATACATTTACCTTGTCGATGACTTCTTTAGAGAAAAAGCCCGAATGCTTATAGGCTTATAGGCTATAGGATCTAAAAAGACCCTAATCCTATCGCCAATGTTAAAAAAAAGTCATAATTTCACTTTGAAGAATAGGGGCAAGCCCTTCAATATACAACATATCACTGGACTGGTCAATATGGGGATGAGTGATACTGCTTTAGGGAAACATGGATCAAACGAAAAAAGGTTTACAGTATAAGAAAGCAGCATAACAAGGGAGGACAATTAAAAGAAAGAAATTTAGGTATGAATTTTAGCATATTCAATCACAGATTGAGTGTAGTATTCACCTAACTGAATAATTTTGGGGACTTCATCTAGGTGAAGTAACTTTCAAAAAAGGCAGCCCATACAAAAAATTGAAAAATGCTGCTCATATGTTTGGAAAAAATGTTAATTGAAGTATTATGTAAGGCAAAACCAACATATAACCCTCAATAACAAAAGTTTTGACATGCAAATCTTGGCAAGAAATGTATGTCGGCACAACTTACAACCTTCTGACAACCCTTAGCTGAAAAATAAAATGCAATTGTATTAGAAGACAAAATTCAAAATATCGACCTGAGCCGACAAGAAGGTAACCAACCACTGCTTTAGCTTGTGAAAGCTACAAAAGACACCCATAAAAATCCACAAATGGGATCAGCAGTGTGGTGTCACATGACCCAGGGAAAAATGGCTTTATGCATCAACAACTCTCCAGCTTCATGTCACACGGCAAAAATGAGCCAATCAGGTCCTCGCCAGACTCTACTGTTTGCCTTCCCCAAACCCTGAAGAAAAAAAGTCAAAAAGGAAAATAGTCTCCAAACCCAAGAAAAGTAAGAAAAATAGGTGAAAGAGAAAAAAAAGCACCGTAGAAACTTTATCAAAAAAGTGGTTGTTTGGGCTTTTTTGTAGAGGTACAGGAGAGGAAAGCAAATAGAAGAAATGGAAAAAAAATAGTTTGCAAATATAGAAAGAATTCTTTGGGAGAAAAAAGCAGAGGAGAGGCAATGTTGTCTTCAGCATGCCTGCGTGATTCCACAGCATCTGTGCATATTGTTTAGTGCTGAACAAGAACAGCTAAGGGGGAAAAATGCTTGGTTGTTTTAGTTGGACAAAAAGAGGGACACATGATTCGCTATGGCCAAAAAGAAAACAAAAATGAACGGAAAAAAATATAGTTTAAAAAAAAGAATTGTCATTGGATATGCTTATTCGAGCCAGGGCAAGCATATCACAACTGAGCTAAACGGGCTCTTGAAACCAGAATACAAAGGAGTAAATAAAGCATAGACAAAGAAAAATGAAATACAAATTTAGTCAACGAAAATAGGACAAATAAGAAGGAAGGTCCGTATGAATGTAATGGGTTTCGGTCTTGGTAAACAGGACAAAAATGGAGGTGATTCAAGTGAATGGATGGGTTGACAGCAAGAATGAATTTGTATTATTTTCATTCTGTGAACGTCAGTTCAGCACTCTTACCTCTTATTGGTGTACCACCTGGGTGGATAATATGAATGCAAATAAGATTAGAAAGAAGAAGCATTAGTACGAGTAGATAGAGGCTTGGGGCTTTGGAAGAAGAATCAAATTAGATTTAACAGGGTACGTAAATAAAGGTACTAGAGGAAAGAGAAAGGAGAGAGAGAGGGAGAGAGAGAGAGAGAGAATTGTTCTGTACTCTACTGGCAAAGATAGACAGGATTCATCATAGAAAAAAGCATAGGTCAAAGAGAAGAACTTGTACATTGATGTAGCACGGGGAGGTGCCATTTTTGGAAGTGGCAATAGCTTCTGAAGACCGTCTCCTGAAGGGAGAGACTTTTGACGACTTTGTGTATGAGATTGAGAGCAGTCGTATTTAAACAACTTGAGATTTCCCTTTGCTTCACCTGAGCTAAGCAGAGCTGGTCACCTCCCTAAAACACTTGAAATTCCCAGACCTACTTTGCTGGTGTTAAAGGATAAGTGAGTACGTGGTGGGTCAGTGAGTGAGTAAGAAAGATGTGAGGACAGGTCATTGTATGACAACATCAGCTAAGGTTGGGTGATTGTAATCTCCAGATAAAGGTGATACTGGCAGTGGTAGGACACTTGAGTACCGTGGGGTGAGGGAAGAGTGTATGTGCCTCTAGTAGTAGCCCTAATACTACACTATCTGTTAGTAAAATGCATGCCATGCATTTTAATAGTTGTTGTAGACATGGAAATTAGTGGGGGGAGTGATGTGTGCTTTAGAGCTAAGCACTTACCAAAGGATTCTGTAGATTTAAAAATATAGAGAGAAGAAAGACAGCATAAGAATATGATTATATGCTTTAAGTGAGTTTAGTTAACAAAGGTTTTCGTAAATGCTTTATCAACTACGTGAATCGCACAGTTAGAAGTAAAGGGTTAATTCTACACAGTTCTGTTAAAAACAAGTCAGAAAGGAAGTCAGGTTAACAAGACGGTTTAACAAAGGACAGCTGTGAAATCTGAAGACAGGTGGTCAAACATACAAGACTTCAAATTTACAAGTAGTTGTGCTAATGTGTTGCCTTTCGCGGGCACATAAAGCTGCAAGCTATATGATTTATTTAATTTTCGTTGGAATAGTCTCTGAGATAGTCTCTGAGATAGTGAAATCAAATGGGGTATTCAGGCGAATGGGGATATTAGGATAATGTCACAGGCAAATCAAAGCAAAGCTGGCATCTACACATTAAAGCAGGGGCTGTAAATTGAAAGAATCAAGGGGTAAGGGAAAAGCCTTGTGAAGTTTTACGCACTACTGTGGCTGATTAGAGTCCAAAAATAGAGGTTTGTCTTTAACCTAAAGAAAGTTCTTATGCAATGCAAATTTTTTTATTGAGAGCAGGTTTAAGGATCCCTCTTTCAAAAAAATACAATTTCAACAAATGAACCAGAACGATGATTCATTTGCTTTTCTGCATCTTTCATATTTTCTAATCATGTGAACTCCTTAGCAGATTCTGAATGAAGCTGAATGTTGAATATTAATTGTTAAAAAAATTAAGGCATAATAAATGAAGAGAATGGATCCCAAAAAAAAAAAATACTGCACCAATGCAGTGGACAGGAAATCAACACAAAACCGCAAAAATAATTAATTGTAAAAAGTCACAGCAGTGAGCAATGAGGGCAGAAGTTAGGGCAGAAGCCAGCAAACACAGAGGGGGGACAATCCCAACAGCCCATGACAACACTGGAAGACAAAGGGAGACACACATACAGACAGCACACACCGGGGCGCACAGAGAGTAGAGGACAGGAAGTAGTAGAAACAATGCCATTACCTACAAAATTAAAAGCCAAATGAGAAGTTAAATTATGGGAGGAAGAAGAGGATGAAAGAACAGAGAAGACAACAGGGGGAGCGCTTCAGATAGAGAATAACAAGAAAGGAGACTCCCCACTTTGTAATTCAGTTTTCAGCAGAGGAAACCGACCTGATCTGAGCTGTTTAATGCGTCCATTGTTGGTGGTGGTGTTGACAGGGAGGAAGTCTTTAAACCAGGAGATGTCTGGGTCGGGGTTGCCGCTGGCGGCACAGAGCATAGTGGCAGTGCGTGTTCGCTCCACCACTTTCAACTGTGGGCCCATGTCTATGGTGGGGAAACCAGGGGGCAGCTGGTCCTCTGCAAAAAACAAAAGATGAGGGACATTGTTACAGAGGTGAGATTCAGAACTGCAGAGCAACAGCATGAGTGAAAGATGGACCTACAATGTTGATGAACAAGAAGGGAAAATGGACAACAGCACAGTTTAGCCATCTCCACCCAGTTGAAGGAGAAGTTCAGGTTGTAATCGAGGAAATCCAAATATTTGCTTCCTTGCTGAGCATTAGGTGAGAAGATAGACAACATTATATGTCAGTTAAACAAGCTAGGAGTAACCTAAACGGAGTATTTCCCAGAATTCTTTAAATGACAGAAAATAAGAGCCCCTAGCTCCACTGGATAACCATTTATCCACCTTTGAAGTTCTTTGATAGTGGCAGGCGGCTTAGCTGTGTTGAATAAGCTGTCTTGTCCCAGCCTGTGTCTCAACTTACTGACTTAACAGAGGCGGGCTACATCTTGCTGCCGTTCGAGATGTGAGAGGAGATAACTCCTCACTTCAAACATGCTCTTTTAGCGAAACAAAGAAAATCAAAGTCTGGGGTAAGTTTTGTCTGAAGCTCGTGGCTGTGAAGCGGGAAGTATATTCTGCTTGCAGAAAGTGAGGATCTTGGAGAGGGTGCAGAGTGGAATTTCCCATGAGCCGTGAGATCTCCGTTTGCAAAATGTCTGCCTCTCCGTAAAGTTAGGGGAAATCAGGAAAAAAACCAGACCTAAATTCTAAATGCCAATGAGGTTTATGTGCACCTTTTAAGTTTTCCTTTCCCCGCTGTGATATCGCTAATTAGTGTCTTCCGCTGCTCTCGTAAACTCCACCTTTTTGGAAACACTTTCTTCATTAAATTTTCATGAGGAGACATCAGTCTGGAAACAGCTTTGAGATGCCACAGCCTGCACACAGCCAAACGACAATCATGGCCGCCTTCCAACAATGCTTTTGGGTATCTGGCACGAGAAACCAACGCGATGGATAAATCTCCTCAGAAATAGACTGTATTACAAATGAGTGACTTCAGACTGAACTGCAAAACTTTCCGATGCAACTCTGTGTCCCTGACTGAACTGACATGCGTTTTGACAGTGATGGAGGGGGTATTGTTCGCTAAATGTTTGAATGAATGAATGAATTTCTATCCTATATAACGCATACTTTGAACACTGGTCCTTTTCTTGCCAGCAGTGCGCTGTTAGTTACACCGGATGTCCTGCCCCATGCATCCTTATGGTTTATCACTGGAAGTCCTTGACATGCTGTGCAATACATGTATATAGCATACACTTATCCCTTTCAGGATCCATTAAGGTAATGAGAGCTACCCCGGCTTTACTCTTGTTCAAAGTTTGCAGGTGTTTGGCACTGTGTTTGCTTGTTGCTTGCACAAAATTGATTTGCTGTTAATTAAGACAAATACCACTTAACCACGCAATTCACCCCAGTCACACTAGCCATATTTACTTCACATCACAGTTAAAGTATGAAAGTTAAGCTGAAGGACAGAACCAATTCTAGTGTAAAACCTGAGGAAATCCCCCTTTTTTTTCTTACCGCCGTTCATATCTGCCTGGTGATGCATGGTTAGGGACGGTGTATTATATTAATTTTAGGTGTTTAGCTTCAAGAATTCTATTAGCTATCATCTTGCTCTATTTCTGATTTTCAATGACAAAAAAACGAATTATGTAATGTGATCATTGTACACATAATCATGATTTTATATCTGTTTTTTTTGTTTTTACAATCAACACATTCAGTTCTCTGATATTCACACATATATATTATAATTCAAATGTATTGACGTTGGTCATAGCAACTTATTTCTTCCAAAATTATCACATTCACAAGGAATGAGGGAATAGTCTAATGTGACAACAAAACTAAAAACTGCACATTCAAAGTGGCTCATTGAAATGGAGAAAGACGGGGAGGACGGTGAAAGGAATTCATTGTACAAGGTAGCCCCGTTTCAAGCTCCCTTCAGCCTGCTGAAGGTCGAACAGGCAATCAGTCGATTCTACAGTGAGTCAAAAGTATACCTGATCAAACACAATAGCCGGAAGCGAGCACTGGGAGCACGAGTGCATGTTGAATATAGTAATTGGATGTGACGATCCATGCGAACTAAAAAGCAACTCCTGTGAAATTGCAATATATTTTAAAACAAAGTGCTCAAGAGATCATAATGTAACTGTCCTTTAAGAAGCCCGGCTTGTTCTCATGCTGCTGTATGCAATGCCCCAGGTTGTTCCTGAACAGGGTGTGAGGCAACATTCATTTTCATTTGTAAATGGTGTCCTCTAAATGAGGATCCTGTCAAATATGTGGACGGTAAAACCACGGCAATTCTGTCTGATTTGCACTGCTGATTAACTGCAGTGTGACTCACTGACATTGTGGAAACGTATAAAAGTGAGGCCTGGGTCAAGTGTACAAAAGGGTACTTTCACAGAACCCATCTTCCATATCCTATAGAATGCGTTTGTTACATGATGCTCGCCCGTAACTCTGGTGCAAGGCAGCTGATGTGACTCCAGGCAGTGCATTTAAAATTAATGACCTGTTACAAAAGGTTCCTGGCCTTTGAATTCTTGCTCAGCCCACAAATGTATTTTACAGCTGCTTTGTGCACTCGCGCTCATCGAGAACGGCCACAAAGTCATGACTTCAACCGTGAGGTATCTCGAAACTTTACTTGCACCGGACTTTGACTTACGATACAAAAGGCAGAATAATAAACACGAGTACTTTGACGTTCTCAAGCTCCCTCGCGGCTCCCAGCAATACCCTCACTCACTTCAGAAAGAGAATTACCATTGTGATAATAAATAAAGCCAGGGAAGTTAAACACATTTGCTAACTTGTGCTGTGATTTACAACTCGCGTCAACAGAGCCGCAGCAGCAGCATTTCCCTTCCAAGGCAAAGCCTCCGAAATGAAATCAGATTAATCACTATGTAATTCAAGCCGCCGCCTGTTTGGTGTACATTTAGGAAAAGTTGGGTTCTTGACAAAGTGTTAAAAGTAAAGAGGGGCCAAGCGGCTAGTAGTTTTTTCCCATGTGCTATGTTTGCAGTTCTGCTCAGTGTCAAGAGGTTGTTTTTCGGCTTGTGGTTCCATTATCAGCAAAGAGCTACTTCATTACCCCTTTAGTAACCCTGATCTGCATCCTGATAGGAGTAGCAATGGGTTGGCTTGTTGTGCTCTGTTTTTGAACGTGTGTTTTGGGGCTAATATATGCTGTGTGACTTGAACATACAGCCACACGCTACCTGTACAGTGTATGGAAGTCAAAGCTGAAATGGGAAAACAGCTTCATCATTCTACCTTGCTGCTAACTGCAATCTCAAGGACAGGCTATAAGACAAGGGCAGTTTCTGCTTTATAGAGCCGTACTGTATATTCAACAATGGATCTACACACTAAATGAGATGGAAGGGAGAGAAATGCTGAAGTCACCTTCTAAAGAAGTGCTGAGCACTGGTGCTTGATATAAAAAGACTCCCAATGACAATTTGCACACATTAGCCACTGCCAGGCTATCAGGCCATATGAGTGTGTGGTGCCAAGTATGGGAGGAGTATAAAAAAGGACATTGGCTGAAAAAGTACCTCAGTGAGCAGATTTCTGCTGAAGACATAAGGCCAGTGGACATAAACTCAGGCCATTAGCAGATTATATCTATTGATCACTCATACAGGAGCACAAGTGGAATCACATTTTCCTTGTGCAAAAACAGTGGCCATTTTGGTTTCTGAAATGTTGCTTGAGAGCAACATAAAGTCAGCACAATCTGTCGTTATATTGCAGTCGCTGGCGATAAACACACACAATCACACTGTGTTCAAAGTAAACTTGTCACCTGCTGTGTCGTAATGACTGGAGTTGCAAACTCAAGTAATATCCTCCTTGTTTAGGCTCAAATTAAATGAGCCTAATTAAGTCTCAGCAGATAAAGGTGCCATTCAACTGTTAACATGTTAGCGCGACAGCAAGGCACTTTTGTGTTAGTGTAGACTGAGGGGTTGTTTACAAGGTACTACAGGACTAATGCAGTTACATCTACGGAGTGTAATTCATTAAAAAAAAAAGAGTGCAACCAGACTAAAACCAATGCCAGGGCATCTGCTTGAGTTTACTATGTGCCCAGATGTGGACAGCTGTGGGAAAGCGGCTACAGGAAACCAAATAAAAAGCATGTTCCGCTCTCCTGCACAGCGCCGACAGTAAACCCACCGCTGTGTCTTTTTCTCTGGTGTATGATAGACCATTCACAGAGCAGAGGTTTTTTGGAGGAAGCAATTACACAGTCAGTTGGTGTCGCCAGATATCGGTAGTCTGCTAATATTGCATATGCTTTAGCTCGTAGGTGGGACATTGTATCGGTAATGATGATTGACATGTAAATAGTGAGCAGTGATGTCAAAATACAATTCAACATTCCTCATTAAAATGCTAAGAATACGGAGTGTGAATCTTACACTTAAGTCTAATTAAGTAAGATGTAAGATTTAATGTCACTAAAAGCACATTTGGCTCCAATATTACAGATTATGTATAAATTAATCTGAGAAGGAAATAAAGCTCTGTTGCACTGTTCTTCCCTAGTGAAGCCATAAAAACAAACCTTTCCGGTCACATTCTGGCTTATGTTCCGTGGTTGCTGCACAAGGATTGGATTTGGTCCGACCCTTTTCTTCCCAAGCGGAACAAGACTTTTCACCCTGCGGTTGAGGTTATTCTTCAGGGAAAATCCCCGCGGTCCAAAAATAAGATGTATTTGTTGGACGTATTTGAGTGGATACAATCTCCTCAAAGAGGCTGTCACAGGTCACTTGCTCTGTCAGCGTGCTGTGTCAAGACCTATTGTTGTTTGAGGATCCCTCCTCGCCACAGATGCTGGATTATGAAAGTGTGGGAATTCGAGGGCAGATGTCTTCAAGTATGACATTCTTAAGATTTACACTGCTTTTTCTTCGGCCCGAAAGATTATCCTTGCCCAGTTTAGGAATCAATCTGATTCTCGCTACCCCTCCCCAGACATTTCAGCCAGAACAAAAAGATGAGCCACAAAACATTACCCGTGGAGTGTGACAGCACTGCTTATTTTTCTCAGCAGCTTGAGCCAAAGCCATTTTTCTTTCCCACCACACCATAGCATATCATTTGAAGTTGAGGGACAGTGATTAAAGCACTTTCCACGCTCGAAAAAAAAAAAAATCCCAAAGAAGTGAGAAAGAAGATAGAAGAATTTAGCAGGGTTAGGGTGCTAATCATGTTAATCATACACTCTTGCTGCTCACAAGGACGTCATTTTGGAATTGGCTTGTTTCATGGCTTGCTAATGCATTAGCTGACCTAGATTGATTTAGGACTTGGTGTTTTATAAGCTCGTAAAAGGTAATTAATAAAGGAAACTTGTAGAAGTGCAGTGATATGATAGAAAGGAAATCTTGACACAGATAAATAAATGACATTTGTAATTTGTTTACAGTTCTCAAAAATGTGTTGCAAGCCTAGTTAATACATCCGCTCAGAGACGACCTGACTCCTCTTCAACAAAATGTTCCGTTCGGCTCCTGTTAAACTGACGTATTCAATTATTATTGTTTTTTCCTTTGGCCTGGGAGAGTGGAATGTTAATTATGCTTTTGTTTTCACACAAACAAAATTACTCAACCAAACTTAAGAGCTCTTGATTAACAAAGGCAGACAGCAATTCCATTTTCTGCCAATTCTATGACGGCATCTGCTCTATTTCTCCTCTTCCCCTCTCTCTAATGTTTCACCACTTTCACCCACATCGTTGGTTTCCTTGCTCTACTTACAAGGTACACTTACCACTGTGGTGCAAAGGTGTACTTTTACAATCCAGCACCTAATGATTGACAGGTTCTAAATCTAAAGCCACCCTTTGCTTTATCAGCCACCTGCAGCTTGGTTCAACTGTCTCAAACCTGGACTAAGACAGAGTTACTTAAATCAACACTCCATCATTCTGACTCTAAACTTTTGCAAAGGTGAAACTTGTCCCCGAATCAATTTTTCAAATCAAACACTAGAGCTTCTATCCCTTATTTCCTTTGTCCAATGAAAAAACACACATTTGATTATATTGATTTAATTAGATTGTTTGTTTTTAAGCATGATACTGCTTACGACAGGGCAGTAAAGCAGTAACAGTAAAGCAGTTAAGCTGCCACAGAGGACTACTATTGCAGAGATACAAGTGAAAGTAACGCATAATTCATTCAGAGTCTGAAAAGCGTCCTGAGTATAAAAGCACCTGTTCATCATTGCTGAGCAAAAAAGGAGGAATGACAAACGGAGATGTCTGAATTTTCCCTAAATGCCCTCAGAGAATCCAAAGCATGTATTTATCTCAGTGATACATCCGAGGGCTGTTTGGCACACATGTTGTCCAGTCTAAATAAGATTAGGTTTCCCACTGGAGCTTCCTCTGAGCCAGAATTCCCAAATAAGCCTCCTGGCACCTGCACTTGGGTAGATATTGCTTAAGTAATCCAATAATAGAAAACAAAATGCTCAGCACTTCGTCCATTAAGGCACACAATTCTGATATTCATCTTCCTCAGTTGTTTTTCAGGGGTTCACAGGCGAGTAACCTTCAAATTGTTTTAAAACATGTTGTGTATCTAGACTGATTTTTTTTTTAAATTGTTATTCTGCAGACAGGAAAAGAGCTCAAATCTGAGGGCGAGTCCCAATTATAAGCCTGGGACCACAATTCTTTATGTTCCAAAGCCTTAGACAAACCGACATGAGAATATGTTAAGTAACAAAGCATACAAAGCTTTCCAGTGTAGGTTTACAAATGCGTCGGGTTAGAATCAATGGTGTAGTATTTAGCAGAGTGCTGGAGAGTTTGCTATGAAAGCCCATGATCCATTTACTTCAGTCTTCATAACAACATTGATGGAGTGGCTAACTTAGAGAGAGGATTATGTCAGTTTTTGTGTCTACTGTGTTTCAAGGGGCTATTTTCACAGATACAAGTCACCATTTATTATGAAGGAGGGTGATTTTAGGTGAAAAATGAAAATACAAAAACAATTACCTTCTGCAGTAGTTTACCTGTAAAATTTAAATGGCGTACACACACGAGGGCTTTCACAAACTAGAACAAAAGGGACATGTTTTTGCAAATGTGTCCCAACATACTGAATATTTTGCAGTGAAAAATTGGGTTCTTCCATGCAGCACAGAAGAAGTGTAGCTGGGCTGATGACGGCATGCTTTAAGACATCAGTTGATTCAACATGTATAAGAGCACGCTAATGAATATTACTGTGAATGTGCCAGACATGGCTCAAGCAGCTAATTCCAATTTTCTATAATAGTTTTAACAGGAGCAGGCCCACTTCAGCACAAAGTGGCATTAAGTCGCATTAGCGCGTTACCTCTAAAAAGGTAGTTCAGTAATTTGCTGAGCAAATGCAGTCTCTTTGAGAAAACCGCTAATGCCCGAGGGCCGACAACGAGGAACCATCTCCTATCCACTCAAATTTTATTTTACCCGTGTTGGCCTAAAGGAGCAAAATAGGAATGGATTGAGAAATACCAGTGTGTTCCTTATCCTGTGATGATGAACGGAGGAGCGAAATACAGGAGGAGGAAGGTGAAGGCGCAGAGAGCTCTGGTAACCCGAGGTTCACGGCACTCTGTCTCTGTGAAAAATAGCATCGTCTCCCCCTTTGTCCCGCACTGATTGTTTCTTCCATAAATCCCCTTTGAGATTGTATAATTAATTGAATGCTGCTTATTTGTCATTAAAAAAACCCTCGCCTAATGCCTGAGATTATGAGGAAACCATTGTAGAGCCGATCTATTAATCACCGAGCCTTTTTTCCCCCCCAGAAAAACCTTCACAGATGAACAATTCAAGCCGTTCCTCATTCTGAATGACATTGGAGAACTAGTTGTAAAACTTTTAGTTGACACACTGTTGTCATGGTGCATTATTTCTTTGAAACACGTGTGAAACGAGTACATTTACACTTCCTTTGTGGATCACACAATAACTACATATTTCCATGAAAGATGTAATGCACATCTGTCATGTTTCTCTACAAAAGGGAGTAGCTATACAGTTCACAATCATGGGCAGATTGTGGATCGATTTTTTTGAATGTCCACTTCTCCCTTTAGAACTTTTGTGTCAGGAGCTCCGTAGAGAAGCAGTTGTGGGATTCGGGTTGAAATTGAGAAAAGCGATCCAGGTCAAAAATGATTTTCTATGGAATATGCTTTAAAATGACCCCGTCTGCTGTTCCCCAGAGACATTTTCTATGGCCATCGCTGCTCGGAGCAGATTGGATCAGCCGAGCACAGGGCATGCATCGGAGATGTACGCCACCGCTTCTGGCGAGGCGCCCCAACTCTCCCCTGGCCCCCACGTTATTCATAAACATGACGGATTAGCTGTGATATTCTTCCATTTACAACATAAGCAAAGGGAGTCGGAGGAGGAGAATGAAAACAGAGAGTGAGTATTAGTGTCGGATGCCCCTAAGGGGTATAGTACTAAAAAGGATGGGTAAAGAGGGAGATGAAAAGCAGAGATGAAGCAGGAAGGGCGGAGAGGGGGCCTTTCTCTACAGGCCTGGCTGGGCAAGCAGCAAGCCAGGCATAAAGCTCCATTTACGCTCAGATGCCCCCCCTTACTCTTCTTGCTCTAGACTAGACGTCAGCTCAGCCAGATGTACTGTTCTGAGTAAAGATCACCTAGGGGGAAGTGGAGTGAAAAGGAGATTTCAGGACCTTTTCTACCTACAATCATGTCTTTCTCCCACACTGGCATTGTCTTTTGAATTTGCCTCACTCACTGTCTTCATCTGCCTCAATCCAGTCGCAGCTCATCTGAGAAATATGCTTGATGTTAAAGGCTCTCCCCTAATCTGTCTTTGTCTGTCTCCCATCTTCCCTCTCCAACCCTCTTCAGGATTTCATTTTGCGTATCCCAGTTGCTGGCTGTTACCTTGAGCAATGCTTCCATTTACTTCAGAAAAAGGTTTATTTGGTTCAGTTGGGCAAAGAAAAAAGAAGCATCTGCTCCTATCATCTTGTCTGCCATCAGAACTTTTTCTGTTATTATTAGCAATATTCAAAGGAGGGAGAAAACTATTTGACAATGTTTTGAATTATTAGCCAAACACAAAGGTAAAATGTCTGTTGCCTATTTTCTCTCAACTCCATGAAACACACTTTAGGAAACCTCTTCTTCTTTATCCTAGCTTTTCCGTAACAGTCCATCAACCATCATTTGATCCTCTCGAGTGCATTAAACATTCACAAATAAAGAGGACATGGCAGGGAATATATAAACAAGCACACGCTACCGTCTCCTTGGAGACACCCCTCTCACTTTGAAGCACATACTGCAAGACATCTGCTCTGCTTTTATCTTTCAGGCTTTTCTTGTATATCACCCTCTTACCGCCCACTTGGGATGACTACATGATGCTTGATGTGTCAAAGTTTAATAAAGTATACGTTTGCGTATCAATATTTATCATAAAATAATATTTAACTCTGTGGGTTGATTTATTCATGTTTGTCTTTTCAGGGGACGCTGATGAAGAAGCTGGAGCCAGTGAGGGCTGAGAGAATCAGCAACCAGGTGAGTCTGCTGACTGGGCAGGAAAAAAAAGACAGAAGGCCAAACTGTGAGACACTGAGCTGCTTCATTAAGCTTCATGTACTATACATTCAGAAGCAGGTGGGTCAGGTTGATCAAACGGGCATTTCTAATACTTTGGCTTGGATTGTCTCTTGGCATATCTTTTGAGTATTACCAGAAATCGGTGTGTGTGTTCAGGTTAAATGGACTGCACGGGACTGTTTGTGTGTATGTGGTGTGTATTACTTTACTCGCAAGAAAGCATCCCATCAGCTGCCAGAATGCGTCCACAAACTCCTCTGAGCTTTAATCACGTTCAGAATTTTGTGCATGACCAGATATCTTTATGGGTCACGCCCCAGGACTCTTAAATTTGAACATGGTATCATCAGACCCAGACGAGTACTCTGGGAGAACCTGCCGTATAAATGTCTGAGGAAACCGACATCATACAAGTTCCCATCCTTCTGAGAAAGGGAAAAACCTAGCAACAGCCATTTCAATAATTGATAGAGCTAAAAGCTTGCTACAGGAGAGGGGAGTATAAAGATTATTCATGCATGCTGACATCCTGCAGAGAAGGACCTCATGGCTCTCAAAGAGCCCTAATGGAAAAAGGGGTTATATCAGGCAGCTGAAATTCATCAGACGGGCATTCTCCCCAAACATGACTAGGGGGGGATGATGGGTGTCACAGCAGGCGGTGGATGGCATTGTTTTATTATGGAAATTTTGATATTGAGGCCACATGTTTTGAGATCTGACGGCTCGGGTTTAGCGCTGATGAAACTTGTGATAAACTTGTTTTGTCCCCCTTTCATGCAGCCATAAAACATTTCATTGTTAACTGCACTCATCTTTGCTGTACTGAATGTGATAATCTATAGGCAACTAATTACACCCAGAAATCAATTCTTGCCACTTTCTCAGGCCAAAGTTGTTTGGCTGTAATTAGCGAGCAGCCTTCACAGCTTGAAAAGTTTCTCAAATGCATTAAGGATGACCCTGCAGTGCCCAATTAATCGAGTAGAAAATGACTTGAGTGGAGCTACGATCAAAGCTACTAGCATTAGCACCCCTTGACTACCTCGTCATGGAATATTTCTGCGTTACATTCTGCCATTTGCACGAATTCAGATAGTCGTTTATCAAGCTAAAAAAAGATCAAATGTCTGATCTTATGATTGGCATAACTATACAGAGGATGTAGCAACGGTAAGCATGCTGACATGCCGAACTGTGGTGTTGATCTTTTACCTGCTAAACTGGCATGTTGGCATTGTCACTGTGATTACATTAGCGTGCTATGCACAAATGCAGCCTTACAACGGTTGGCATGGCTGCATGTAGTCTCTTTTTGTCTTGTTTACTTTAACATACACAACAATGTATATCAAATATCTTTAAAAGGCAAGAAACATGTTTCAGGTGTGTAACCTCTCTGTACCATATTTTATTTACTGTTCAACTGTTGCTTCCACAAGATGTGGGAAACAATTTGCATTTTTGAATCATCATGATCTAATTACGCTGGCAGTAACAGTGAGGTCACTGTGGAGAACAGTGGCATCTAAGGAAAACAAACAAACATAAAACACATTCCTCATTTGTCTGAATCAATAATTATTAATTTAGGAGGCTGTCTTTACTTGAATTCAAACAAATACAGAGCCGCAGCGTGTGCAGAGTTATCTATCATGTTCAGTGTGCGGTCCAAGCACCTTTGTGGCTCCAACAGATGTTTCCTCACACGCTATGCAGACTGTAAAGTCTAACATCCATCTTGTTGGCAGCGGTTATGCCTTAAATCATCTTGCGTACAATACAGAAACTGATTGGCTCCCACCATTAACCACGCAGTAAGATATAAGGGGGTGTGGGGTTTCTTTTCTTTTTTTCTGAGAAGAGATCAATTTCTGTGAGGACAGTCAACTCCATCTTTTTAATTACAATAATGAATAGCTTGTCATCTCATGCTCCAGTTCTGTGACGTATGAGAGAAGTCTGGAATTGAGGGGAGAGTAGCATCAAATCAGTATTGGCCAAATCCCAAGCAATAACTCTGCCTGTGGATTATTTAATGAAACATCTAATGGACATGAAGATAATTGGTGATCTGTGAAAAACCTGCAAAAACAATAATGGCTTCTGAAACGCCACAACTGGTGACAAGGACAATTATGTTTAAGAGTCCTGCGTACTGAGTGTGTTTCATGTTTAAGAGTCCTGCACTATGAAGTCATACTGATGAATCAGTATGACTTCATAGTGCACCGACCACTTAGGTTATACAATTCACTCAGAACTAAAATGCTGTTCCAAGAAGTCTATAATATCGTAGTTTAATGGAACAAAAGAGTTAAACTCCTACAGTGACTCAGCATCTTCCCACAGCACCACTTTTGGAGGGAAACTTTTTTTTTCGAACAAAATGGAGTGTTCCATGTGGCAGCCCGGGCCTTGCCATCTATAGCACTCCCGCCAGTAAACCACTGAATTGTATGGTAGCTGCGCCCCCCCTGCAGTAGTTTTACAATGGTCACTTGCTTCATCCCCACTGCATCCCTCGCTCCGGCAGTCCGAGACAGCTGACATAGCATTTATCTCGCTAAGCAATTTGAGCATGCAGTACAGCTTTTGTTCATCCCTCACTCTGCACTTGTAAGAAGGAAAGCAAGAACACGCAGATTAAAAAATGAAAATGATGGTTAGGAATGAGCTTTAAGGTACATTTAGAATTATTATTATCAGTCACTCTTCACAGGCAGGTCCATACAGTTCGCCTTGACCAGCATCTCTGGGATATCGGTTAACTAGGCTTGGAATATAAATTAATCCGTTTTTGATGTCTTTTATGAAGGAGGAGACCATTTTTGTTCTGACAATGACAAAGAGCCGAGTTCATACATTGTCTATGAATAATCACTGATCATGTAGCAGCCCTTTCATTGTATATGGAAAGATCCATCTCAGCTACACGGCTTTGACCGTGCCATTGCACCATTCCATACAAATGGAAATGATGCATTCTGTTTTTCCGTCACAGGAGAGCGGCTTCCCATTTTCCGCTCCCACTGTCAAGTTGTGCACAGCTGCATAAGTTTGCACGCCTGTGTGTGGGGCACAGGAAATGGCTGTTGACAGCATAATGGGAGTGTGAGGATGCAATATAAATCCTTAATCATGCCTGAATCATGAACTGCAGCACTCAAATCCACACATCATTCTGCTGGAACTACTCCTAGCAGAGAGTGTGGACCCTGTGGGGTGTCTGCTACATTTTCTGAGTATTTATTTTGTTTACTTTAGTTAAAAGTGTACAAATGAAATCCAAATGCCCTAACATCGTCTCATGACAGATATACAGGCTCTCCATGAGTCCACACGTGTACGCAGATATCTTACGGGAGCATATTCATAAATTAGATCAAATACCACTTCACTGAAATCATATTCCAGCCGTGACACCCAAAATGTGCTGTTTCTCCATTTCTCAATCCCTTCCTGTCGTTCTCAATTACAGAGCAAATCACGACAACCTTAATTGAAAGACCCGAGTTGCATATAAGTCGAGTCATCTCGTAGTTAATCAAAACAGAGGGCCCAGAAAAAATAGTGCACTGACGAAACCCGTAGCTCACGCTGTGGCCCAGCAGATGCGACTCTGGAAATGATTACGTTTCAGGGTTCGCCTTTCATGCAAATCACTTCCCTAAGCCTGGAAGTTCATTGCTAATGGCACTTACTATCAAGTTAGAGACACATTCGAATACTAATATCCCCCCCCCCGAACTTTGGTTTCGTCACCTCAAGTCCCCTCTCCTCATTGCATGGCTATTACAACAATGTGCTTTTCCCTCATGGAATCAGGCATCGCCTCCTGTGGCGAGCCTCCCACAACAGCTGCTTTGCAGTTGTTTCCACAGACCATTGGAGCCCAAATGCACTAAGCAGTCACTTTATATGTATTAGGCCTGGTGTAGTAGCACTTGTTTGTATTTGCTTATTTATTTATCTCTACCACACTGAAAGGGCCAAAGGAGGAGAGAAAAACTATTTTGCTGCTCATGGTGACAGATTGGACTTAAACAAAATGTGAAGTTGCATTTTTTTCAAACTGCAGTTTACGTCAGGTGCAATGATGAGCGGCAAACCAGCAGCGCCGTGTTTATCGTACTGTACGAAGTGGCTTTGGAAGGAGGGAGCTTTTTGGTCTCCTAAATAATATATAATGCCTCCTTGAGGTAACCTTGTGTTACCCATACAGTACGCTGCCCCCACAATGCAGTGTGTCAGCTTACTCCAAGCTTCCTGAAAGTCATCCTTATGTTGGGTCTTTGGCTGTATTATGGATGTGTACAACTGAAGTTACAACTGCTGAAGTGTAAACTCAAAGAATATGGCTTGCTGGAGGTTATGTTATCACAGCAATGCTTTTCTGTGTCAGTGGCCAGCACTGTGGCATCATTTCCCCTTTTGTGTATATTTGATTTTCATCTTGCTTCCCTTCCTTTGTCCGTCAAGCCAAAGCTGTTATCACTGCTCACAATTATTCAGGTCTTAACAATACGTTTCCTCTGTCAGACCTACAACACACTAGCTGTCGAGCAAATGTAAATGCTTGACCTTGGTGTTGGTTTGGATACCTGTTGCGTCATAGCAAATGGTGACAGAGGGTAATGAAATGGACATATATAATAAAGAAAGTGTGCCAAACATTACCTTATCATCACAATGCCAATATATTTTGGAGTTTATATGCATCCACTGGAGGCAATGTGAGGACAGGGAGCACATCCTTTTTATTTGCAATAAGGCCAAGAAAGAAAAAAATCATCTTTTTTCCTGGTTTTTTGGTCCGTGATAGGCCTCTACTCACCTTCAATACATTGATGGGAAAGGAGAGCGAGCAGAAGACCAAAATGGAAATGGTAATAAACATGCTAATGCCAGGCCGTGGAGCGGGGAAGTGCATCTTCTATACCCGTCCCTTAGCTATCTATTTGTGTGTGTGTGTGAGTGTGTGTGTGAAGGGGAAAAACAGAGATAGAGACGGAGCAAAAGGGAACAGGAAATGCGCACAGTATTGCACGTGCACACATACACACACCCTCACTTTGTGCTCCAGAGTAAACAGGCGAGAGCTGCATGTGAACGTGCCACCTTTCTCTTTCAATCTGCCTCTGGAGTGCAAAGGGCCTTTTGTTGGCTCATTGGCGAGATAAGAAGCAGAGGAGGAGGGGGGGGGGGGTCTTCGGAGACTCGCAGAGCCAGCTTTTTTTTTTTCTATAGGATGGAAGCACCCCTCTCAATAGAAACTCATTTGCCATGTTGTGTAATTGTGGTACATAATGGAGCACACCTCATTCAGGCAGCCCAAGGCATTTTTCTAAAGCCATTTTCTCCATTCACCGCCACACAAGTCATTCTTTAGAGAGATATTACTCAGCCTTTTAAGCTCAGGGCCGCCGCATATTGCCTTTGAATGCAATGTTGTGTGTAATCAAGATAAAATGTTGCTCAGTGCTTATTATAAAAGAGGCACTTTCAACCAACTTGATATTTGTCATCTGACTTTTATTCTCATTGTTCGCTGGAAGTAAACAAAGTGGCTGACCTTTCCCACCTGGACTGTTACACGTGTCTGTGTAGAGGAGGCTGGCTATTAACAGCCACTGGTCACTGAAAGGTACTGGCATTAAGGCAACTTGGGTCTAGAATACTACCATAAACAATATATGCGTGTTAATCGAATGAGAATACACTGCTGTGTTTCTTCCACGGTCAAAGAATATCAAAGCTGAAACGCAGAGATGAAAAATGACTGATTTGAAAATTATTGCTGAGCTTTTCCATTTAACCACCACAGGCTAGGAATGGATGGCTATTTGCATAATTTAACTGGCATCTTAATTATTGTGTCAGGAATCTGTATGCAAATGACTTAAGTCACTTAGAAACAGAAAGTTACTCGGCTAAATGGCTAATGGACTAAATCTGATCAAGTTAAAAGACACAACGTGAGTGTAACCAGAGTCTCTAACTGGGTTTGACTTTGTGTTGCGGAAGTGAGAATCCAAGAAGACAGGACAGACATAAAACAAGTACATTCAAGCTTACCTGGGTTAGCTGGGATACAAAGGGCATGTCAGAGGTGTGTGTGTGTGTGTGTGTGTGATTTCTTTTTTCTGTTGAGGTTGCTGAGAAAGGACCTACCACGTAAAACAGTGAGTCTGGTGGTCGCGCTCGTCTCTCCAACACTGTTGGAGGCGACACATTCATATATGGCTTCATCTCGGGGTGTGCGCAGTGGCTGAATTCTTAGCACTGAACCAGAGCCGTCGTCGAACTCTATCACCTGCAGGTGCGACAGACAGGATATGTTAAAGGAGATTTTTTGGTTCTCAATGGGCGAGGAACCTTCCGCAGAGAAAGACAAGACAACACTGTCAAGGACATTTGGCTATTAACACTGATGGTGATTGACACGATGTGCTTCCCATGACAGAAACAAAAGCTGATGCCTACCTTACATTGAACCCTAGTGATTTATGAATATTGTGGTTGTATACCTACATAATACTCTACATGTACAAAAAGTAACATCAGGATATGTGCAGTATTATAATGTGTATTGGTAATATGTCAGTAAGGAGCATATTTGATGAACAATAATAATAATTTAGCCTTTCTTTTGTCGATGTCCATTTGTTATGTGTTCAGGCGTGTTGTCTTTTAGTTAATGAGCTATTCACTATCTACTCCTAATGTGTGCATTAATTGGTGTAATAATCGATGCGGCTGACTAACTTTAAGAATGGGGAAAGTTACGGTGGTCAGAGTTTTTCCTTGGATATCGGGTTGTCGGGTGAAATTTCAATCTGAATGTGTCCCACTCTTAAAGTTAACACTCTATCCCCTGGAAATGCATCACACTGGATTGTGTTAATGGGACAGAAACGAGCACAGACAGTTAAAGGTGGCTTGATAAACGGTTACGGACATTTGTACCATGAGGTGAGATTAGTGGTGCAAAGGACAGGACCGACTGTATTGGACGAACGACACATAAAATGCTCACAAACAGGTGTTTGTTGTAGCTTATTCAGCTATTGTTTTGCATGCTACATGTATACTCACTGATTTTAGAAAGCCCTGTGTCATAACTCACTCTCTTTTTAAGCATAGAGATAGATTTCAATAAAGATAGGCCTGAGACCTCTGCTCCACACACAAGCACGCGCTCTCACACACGCTCACACACACACACGCACAAACGCACACAGATGCCTACAAACATTTCTAAAGTTCACAATACATCTGTGCACGTGTTAGTTAACAATACAGCTCAACATTTCATTGGCCAAGCCATAGCGGTGTTGGCATTCAAGCTGACAGCAGGTGATGGTAAAATATAAAAAAAACCCTCCTTTCATAGTCAAAGCGGCAGAATTAGAAAGGAAGTTGCGAGACTCCTAAAAGGAAATGGGTTTTTGTTAGAAGATGAGGAGGCAGTGCAGGATTGAATGGATATGGAATGGCGGCAGCCAGCAAGCCTTGTGAAGCAATGAGAGAATGAAAACTAGCATGTTAGCATTCAGCACGACGAGCGATGCAATGAACTCTGATCAGATTCGATTTCTGTGGGCATGAGATGCAAAGAAAAGGCGGGAAGAGATCTCCAAGCTCCGTTAAGCCATCGCTGCTGTGCAGCAGCGAGCAAATATGGCATCTCGAGCAGAGGGCGGAAAAAGTGACACCATGATAGTCCCGAGGACTGACACAGAAATTAATAGAAATCTTATCAGTGTTCTGCAATGATGTGCTATTTCTCATGGGTATTGAGCCCAAGTGCAGATTAAAGCTGACCAGAAATCAAAGCTTCAGCCAGTATAAGCAGGGTAGGACATGCATTTAGATAAAGATGCCACGAAGCAAAAGGATAGTTCGAAGTGAAAGCGCTGCTTCCCTTTTCACTTTGCGTAAAGCTGGCCAATGTGGCGTGATGCTAATGTAGGTATCTGGGTCACACCACAAGTTGTTTTTTCTTCTGTCCAATTGCTCTTTTCTTGTCTTCTATTTAATTACAAATCCGTCCCCAGATCTTTTGTGTGGAGCAGCTCATTAAAACTCCTGCATGTAAAAAAGCCTAGCCAGCATGGTTATTAGAGCCTGCTAATGCGTGGTGGCAAGTCAGGGCGGAAAGCGAGCGAGCGAGCGAGATGGGCATGGCGCGATGGATTATGTGCGAGCAGAGCCAAAAGCAGTGCTTGAAGCATTCCCATTTTGTCGAGCATTTTACATCAGAACAATAGACCTAATACCTCAAATCTCTGGTTGCTGACTTTCTTCCCCTTCTTGTTCCACACAATCTTCGGTCGTGGATCTCCCGAAGCTTGGCAGATGAAGGATGCCACGCCTCCTTGCACGCCTGTTTGGTCATTGGGGGTTCTTAAAAACTTTGGTGGTGCTGGAGAGAAACAGAATAAAAGAGGACAAGAACAGTTAGTAAGCATGCTAAGCTTTGCAGACAGAGCAATGAATCTCTCTTATCAAGACACACGCACGAGAAAGAAACACAGTTGCAGATTTCAGCATGTTTAGGTCAAGGCAAGAGATTGTACTGACTTTATTGTGTGCGTGCAAACGGATGATCAGTGATTAAGATCAGAAGTTAAAGGACAGAGGGCATTCTATCTCGACTCTGGGAGTATTTCTACGTAACTGTGAAATCTCTGACGTATAACTCAGACTTTATAGGGAGTTTTAAAGAGGAACTCTTGGATAAAATGACAAAAGAAGTTGATGTACATGTTTGAATGGATCTGATTGTGGTAAGAAATTTGAGTTTGTGTGTAGGTTGCAAACTTCTGTAAAAAAAATATTGCCTCTTCTCTCATTGTAGTCACTATTTGATACTGTCCCAAAGCAAATTCAGTAAACGTAAAATGGGGTTTATAGAAACTGTTCATTTAGGAATGACTTTGTTCCACTACAGAGAAGGCTATAATGGAAATGATTACTATTTGTAACCCTTTGCTGTGTTCTATGTAATTAGGTGTTCAAGCTGCTCGTGAGTAACTAATTTATAATGCCACTAAAGAGGGAAATAAGTTCTTAAAATTTGGAAAAACCTTAAGTGTCATTCAAAAGTCATCCGTCTTGACAAGCTGTTACGCGTCACACTGTCTCCATGCTACGTGTGGCCATTCGGTGTTTCTAGCAACGCAGTTAAGATGTTCCCAACTGTTGCAGAGAAACACTGGCTTGCCTATCCGTTCAGTAGCAGACGACACTAATCTCCAATCAGAACGTTGGTTTGTGCCCCCGCACAAACGAGACACGAACCTGATAAGATTCTCGCAACGCTCTCCTAATTGGTCCCTCAGTTCAGCACAACAAGTCGAGTGTAAAGGCAATGAGGATAGAAATGCTGAAAATGCAGGCGAGTGGAGGTGAGAGAATGGCAGAGTGGAACAGTGTTTGCTTGGTGTGGACGTTCTCATCTACTGCGGTTGTTTTACCAGCACTGTACAATCGCGTCTGTTCAGGCTCTGATCCCGATAACAGTGAAGAGAGTTGCAACTATATTCTTGCAGTTTGATATTTAGTCAAATAAAAATGATTCCCGGATATTATTCAGGTTTTGTCAGACATTAAAACAATTCTCAATTTAGTTAAAATTCTGAGGATTGAGTTGTTTTCACATTTTTTTTGAATCCCCTCCAAGACAGTCAGTTCCTGCTTATGAACTGACAACAAAACACATCAATGTGATGAGTAATACGGAAGCTGTCTCTCCCAGATGACATTTTGTATTTACATTCCAGTGTCGTCATAATGATCAAGGCTAATTTCAATAATGTAGTGCTTAGTCAGACTCCCCTACTATTTCCATCTAAAGCTTGAATACCGGCTTCAGTGGGAGGTGTAGCTCCATCTGTCCCCCTGCGGAGCAACTGTTTGCCTTTTATCAATCACTTCAGCAGGCCATTAAGGGCCACACAGCTGCAGTAATGCCAACCATCTGAATCACCTCATCTGTGTGTGTGCGATTGTGCCCGCTCGTGTGCCTGTGTGTGTGTGTGTGTAGACTGATTTCCCCCTCTCAGATTGTACTGCCCAGCAGCAGCAGTAACAGCAGTGGTGGTGGCAGCGCTGCGAGAGCGGGACAAATGAACCTGCAGGCTTCATGGAGAGGTGACATAACGTGTGGTCAGCAATCAAAAGGGGCGTATAGATAAACAGGCAAGCAGCTGGGCTTCCACTGGGCAAATGAGTCTGGGAAATCACCTGATTGCCTCATGGCATAAAAAAAAAACAACAACACACACACACACACACACTTCTCGGAGACACTCTCATTCAGCAGCTGACAGATCTGACAGGTGGGGGAAGCACAGTTGACACTGTAATTTGTACGCAGCAAAAAACACCATTATATCTGAATTTGCACTTTATCTCATTGCCTTTGCCGGGGTGTGGTGCACATTGTCATCCAGCCAAGAGGGTGCTGATGGGTAATTGATATGCTATTGGGGATGTTTTTCGCTCCGGGGCCATCCATTATGGCTCGGTGCGTCTCCCCACGCCGGCTGTGATAGACTACTAGGACATGTGCGGGAGATCAGCACTGGGGGTGGGGGGGGGGAGAGAGTCATCGCACAATGGGGAGTGATTGAGGCGTGACATGGAGGTAATGGTGTTTTCACAGACATGGCCGCTGATAGCACCATCATACCCCCATTTTAGGTCTGCCGCTGACAAACATCCATTTTGGTCGACTCCTCGTAAGACGCTGATTGAAACCTCTGTTTTCTCCGAACAATGCCACGACTAGACCCTTGAGAGCAGCTAAAATGATTCGGTGTTTGAACAAACATTGTGCCTCCACCACGAAGAAACCTTTTACCTCAGAACCTTGATTTTTCAAAGGTTGTGTTGGAAACTACAACAACCATGACAACACAGAAGCTTTTATAATAAGAAAGTGGAAAGATTTATCTGCAATCATGTTAATTCCAATAGAAGATAATTGAATTAGTTCAGTGTGCGCACACTGTTGTGCCGTTTAATCAAATCAACTCATTACTACTGCAGCATGTTGGGATCTCCTTTGAGAGGTAACCATGGATTAATTAATACCTGGGATAGGCACCTGTTAATCCAGTGCTAAGCTGTCGCCGGCAAACAAATGA